TTTTTACATGTAGAAATTTATTAGTAGGCAACTTAATTTGTTGTCCTAATAATGATTTTAGATGTTTTCATATATGAATCACTATGTATTTATTTTGTTATTATTATTAATTATTTTAAAATTTAATTGTACAAAAACATTATGAGTGAGTCAACTTTGATTTTTTTTTTAAAAAGTAATTACAATGCTATTTGTATAGTAGTTTGTACTACAAATATGTAATTAAGTGAAAATAGAAATGATAATAGGTTAGGTAAAAATTATAATATAATAAGATTACAGAAGAAATTTATAGAAAAAAAATGAAATAATTAATTAATTTATGACAAATTTTAATAAAAAATGATATTTATTTATTTGGGTATAAAAATAGTAACATTTTACTTAAATAAATAAATCAGGTAAAAAGTAAGTAATTTGTTACTTATAGTATATTTTTTAAGTAAAATTTTTTACTCTTACTTGCTACAAAATGAAAATTATATATGTAGACAAAATTAAATTGATATCCTAAGGATCTAGGTGAGAATCATGTGGGTCTCTAAGAGATTTCGTGTTTTTAATTAAAATAACGTATATATAGACTTACTTTATAATAGATTTAAAAAATGACTATGTTGCACATTGTATGACTGTGTTAAAAATGTAAGTAAATATAATAATTATAATGATATAATTTAATAATACTAATTGTGTAATTGATTATAAAAAATAGTTATATAAAATATTAAATTTTATAAGAATAGTTAAGTAGTTGTTATAAGTGATTAATCAACTACAAATGAATTTAATGCAACTTACACTGAAGTGCCTTTATTTGTATTGGAATGAGTTTTAAACATGATACAAAGTTTCATGATATAAAGTTTACCGTAAGAGGACGTTCTATCAACCTAAATAACGCGCGATAGACACACTTTATGGTAAAAGAACGCTCGAGGTCGCGCGATGGGTGGTGTTATTGCCACAGCTTCAAAGGTTAATACCACAGCTTTTTTAATTAATTGACCATTAACCCACGCGGAGAAGGTGGTGACTGCTGCAAGTTGGATTCAAATGAGGGGTATAATAGTCAAACAATTAAAAAAAGCTGTGGTATTAACATTAGTGGCTGTGGCAATAACACCGCCCTCGCGCGTTAGTTCTACACTGTATTTATATATATAATCCGTTGAGATCCGCTGTGTTCTTCTGACACGATAGCTATAGCCAGAGTGAAGCATTTCTAAGAAAATTTTATCGAAATAATGGTTCTTCTTTGTTGCATCGTCGTCTGTACGGTACTAATTGGGCATCCAGGATTGCATTCTTGAGAGTACTGAACAAGCGAAAGGTATTATTGAGTTGAATTTTTTCTTTTTTTTTTTGACAATGACTTAGGGTTTTTTTTTTTCTCTCCACTCGAAATCGACATGCAATCGGTGGTGACAGAGGAAATCAAACATTATTATGGTTTGACGGACTGTGGAGAAATTGATTAATTTCATTAATTCATTGCATGTTGAGAAAGTTTGATTGATGCTTTTTGTTGAGTTATTTTTTTGATTTGAACTAAGTGAATGAATCTATTTTGAATGAATCTATTTTGGATTTAGAATTTTTCTTGAGTTATTTTGTTTTCTTGAGTTATTTTTTTTTTTATCCAAAGGTAATGATTGATTTTATTTTAGATTTAGAATTCTTTTAAAAGATAAAACTGATGATTTAATAAATTTTAAAATATTATAATCTTTAAATTTTAAAAGATTAGATGCTTGATCACCAAATCATATCACGAATGAGTTCATTTTTTTATATAAATTAGTGCCTAATTTTTAAAATTTTCTCGAATTAAAAGTACTGTATTTGCATTTTCTTTTTTTTTTTTAGCTAGACAGGTTTTTAAGCTAGAGGCATCATCTTCTACAAGTCTGCATTCCGCAGACTCTCAAATTCAAAGCATTTTTACATAGCCAACACCCAACGGAAGCAATGGCGGAGATCTTTCGGAAGACTGTCCACCGGACTGACATTGGAAAAAAAAAATTGAAGCTCCCCAGTGATATAAATTTTGAAGAACATCAAATCGTGGTTAGAGATGATGAGAAGAATACAACATGGAGATTTGACATCAGCGAATCGTCCGGTCTGTCATATCTCAGTGGTAAAGGTTGGAATGAATTTGTGAGAAGCAAACACATTAAACATGGTAGCGAGATCGGCCTCTACAAAGAAGAAGACCCTTTCAATCCTGACGCTCCGTCTTACAAAATCAAAATATTCAGAATTTGAGAAATTAAGTGGTCTGCCTCTATTTTCATTTTAGGTGTTCTCTGGTGAATGTTCTTCAGTGTTTTTATTTATATAATCGGTTGAGATCCGGCTTGTTTTTCTCACACAATAGCGATCGCCAGAGTGAAGCATTTACTAAGAAAATTGTTTAATCACCGACTCAGATTATGAATGGATTTATTTTTTAGTGAAATTAGTTCTTAATTTATAGAATTATTTGGGAATTGAAATTTCAGTATATGCATATTTTTCTTAGCCAAATAGGTTTTTGTTACTATATTGAATGCATACCTCCTAATTATTTGTTAACTGAATTAATTTATTGTATCTCAAAATTTGGGGAACAATAAGAGTAGTAATTGGAAAATTAGGTTCAATGATTGAGCTTGAACTTTTAGAATTTTTAACTAACTTGGAATTGTAGCTTCATTTGAGTTTATTTTCTTTAATCAAGTTTTACTTGTTAAACAAGATACTAAAATTTAAGTTCGAGCTTGAATTTATGTAATAAAATCTTTTAATATGATAGTTTGAACTTGAAATCAAGTTTGTTTACATAAAATGAATATGTTACCAGCCAAAAAAAAAATAAAATTATATCAATCCCTGAGCTTAGCTTGTTTATTTGATCAAGATGGATTGCAAGCATGATCTTTGCCTATCATGAGTGGCTTAGCTCATTTTCACCCAAGGACCAGATATCTCCACTCAAATTCTAGATGCTCTGCATGCTTTTTGAGAAGTTGATATGGACTATTGTTTGGGTTTGGATTTGGGGATTTATGGGTACAAAGGTTGTAAACAATTTGGGGTGAAAGGTTTAAACAAAGGAGAGGAAGCGAGAGGAAAGACAGTGACGAAATGTTGGGGTTGCTCCATGGTGGGGTAAATCCACTCAATCTTAGAGAGAGAAGCTCCTCTCAAGAGAGCCTGGTTGATGTTTATTTTTTTATGTTGATTATTATTGTTATGGTCAATGAACAAGTAATCTAATAATAATGTTCTTTTCTGAAATAGATGTTCTAGATTTGAGTCATTGGATATGGGTGGCAATGTTTGTATTATACATTAAATATTTGTATTATACTTTATGATGTTATTACTGTTATATTT